TAAGGCGTACCAAACGTATACTGAGTTCCTTTTCAATGAATTTTGTTGACTGATGTCCACAAATGTCTCAGAAATGATCCTTCCAATTTTCCTTGTTTTAACTGACAAGAGCTCTCTTTGATGTTTCATCTGTTTGGGGACTTGAATGAACCAACGAACAGCATCTCAAAACTGTTCAAGCCTTAGGAGATAACGGATTTACGTGAAAGATTACCATCTATAAAATTTGATAGCTAAAGGTTGCTGTATATTTCACTCTAGTAGGTTATGTTGCAAAAACCGAAGACAGTGCTATGGCGAGTCGAGAATTTCAAGACAAAATTATAATTCCGAAACACCCGTTAATCTTAATGACATTCTAAACGGGAAAGTCCGAAAACCACTGAATCGGATAGAGACCAATGAAAAAACTACAAATTCCATTGTCGGCCGTCCGTTTGTTCGAACTGAGAAACCTAATGCATTCATTCACACTGTGTGCTTAATCTCATTGAATATTGTAAAATTTCCAATTTTACCCAAAATAAAACAGTATTCAGTGATGATAGTTCCTTGTTTACTATTGCTAGTAAGCGGTTATAAACTCGTTCGATAAACCAAAATGCAAACAACTATAAACTTAGGCGTTCATGGAGCCTGAAGTGTTGCAAGTACTAATATTTCCAGAAAATGCCAGACACGGAGCATCGTGAGGAAAAATAGGACACTGGAAAGCATAAAAGAAGAAGCCTAAAGGCATAAACCGCCATCCCTGAAGTTTTTGAACCAGTTTTACTGAATACAGTTAACACGTTGAGGAAACGACGGGCGATTTACACTACAGAAGTAATGGGCTATAGTAAGAAAGGATTTCAAACCAATTTACAGCATATTTTTTATAATCCTTAGGCAGGTATTTGAACGCCGTCCGTTTATAGTACAACTTGCATATGATATAAAATATTAACAGATTTTCAAGATTCTTTATGGTGAAAATAACTAATGGACTGCTATAATGTTGAAATTAAGTGACTCTCAGGCACGTAGATATAGTCTTAATGAATCTGTCTCTTGAGCGGCATATGAACCTATCGAAAATGCATAAAAGTCCTGAACTAAATTGTTCATCCACTCTGCAAATGCAGAGCAGTAGACGGCTTTTAGTAGAAATTTAGGGTTTGCACGAAACTTTCGCAGTTAGTGTAGGGCAAGACTGTACTGCTTTGCGTATTAACGAAACAAGTACACAAGGAAAAACTGTTTAATTCTCCCTTCTGGTTCTTCTGTTACTACCAAAGAGGGGGCGACTCAAGGCATTGGACACAGGACCGGTCCACGGTTTCGTGAGCGTGATAAAGAAATTCGTACTGTTTGCTGTCTACACCGTTCATCGAAACAAGAGGCCAGAGTTTCACATTTACATCCCTTATGGATGCAAATATGCTTACATAACCCGGAATGTTGCTGCTTCCAACGAATAGACTCCCAAGCTGCCCACATTTTCGCAAAACCATTTATCCGCTTAGGTAGCCCAACGCGCTCAAACATTTAGGCCTAGCGTCCGCTGTTCAGCGCGACCTCACCCCTCTACCTCACGCGACAGAATATTTATTTGGCCGGCCTCGTCGTGACCAGCCGGGGTGCATCCGACCCGGTGGTGGGAGTGTCACCAGGTCTGAAAAAGTCACCCTGTTTACACTAACACCGACCTGGATTACTCGTGTATCCGGTTGGAACTGACTGCATTAGCGTTGCACCTCCCAAAAAGGACACAGAGAGAAGGCTAGGGCCTGCCAAAAGGCTGGTATTGGTGTTTCGCGTAATTGCACCACATGCAGGCTTGGAAAGGAAGTTCACCCGCGTAGGCTTGAGGTCTTTTGGTGAGGATGATTAAGGGCTGTTGTTAAGGCAGGGGGGGTGACATCAGTTTGTTTCCAGGCTTCCAGAACGCGTAGCCTGGGCGCGAAGCTAGGTTAGGTAGTCTCGAGTGCTGCAGAAGGGGGGGGGGTCAGTGACCAAACAGAAGGAAGGCGGTTAACAGATCCCAAGTTAGACATGGCGGATCATTCAGACAAAGGCCCGAGGTCGTAACATTTAGTAGCCCAGATAAGGACTTTCAGACACCACGGTTAAAATCGAGAAGAGAGTTTTGGATAGAACAAGGAAGCGGAAAGGAAGTAAGGGGAAGAGAGCCCGCAAGAAGGAAGTGTGGAAGGAATGTGGCTGTAAAAACGTCATGAAACAAGGAGCCAGAGGCAACAGAGAAACTGCCAATCCAACCCATCACTAAGTACGTTATATAATTTTCGGATTAAAAAGGTTCATGTTAGGATGATGGAAGCGGAAACCTAAAATGTCTCCGATTCTCTTTGCATTCTGAAAAATGCAACTGGTGGAACAAACACTTTGCTAGCTCATTAGTGTCCCTCAAAGAAGGACGATTTGTTGGAGTGTAACGTTTACCTTGGTACACTTTGAAGATTTTGGCATTCGTGAGCTTCAAGAACTAACGATATTTCATACATATGTTTTTACACCTCCCGGATTTCTGTAGAATATTCTGTTTTGAGGGGTTAAACTTAATAACTTGCGTCCGCCGATTTCTTTTGTCTGAACATTGTCCAGCGCACTTGCCATTTGGTCACTGAATCACATGTATGGGAATCCCAGGAGAGGATAAGTCTTCTTATGACGTTTTCAAGAAAAGAGACCGACATTCTAGACTACACAACTAAGAGACACTATTTTCGGTCTAACGGAGAAAATTCATGTTTAGTGTGCGCTAGCCGGATGGAAGTTCGAAGAGTTGCTAATCCTACCAACGCCCTCCTGCATATGTTTTTGGGTTCTTTCTAAACAGTTTTACGACTAAATGCAATTAAGCACTGATCGCTGGGTGTTTGTTTAAACGTTTTAGAACGGTATAGAAGGTTGCTTGACAGTGATCCTGTCTTGGCTCGAAAGCGTTTTAAATAACGGATTTTCGGTGTGTGCGAAAGAACTTACGAAAGACAAAAAAAAATTGTAAGGAGAGAAGTGGAATGACTAGGGAGGAGGAACGGTGTGTATATGAACCATGTCTTCCCCGGCTGCGATTTTACTTTACTGTGGATGCGCGTGTGCTTCGCCGCTCCAAGAAAATTCAAATAAACGCGCACGAGAGGAACTGAAAAATTGTGGGGGGGAACATATCTTGTCACATGTTCCCACAAACTCCAAATCTGGACTTCTGCGAAAGCCAAAATCCGCTGAAAATCTTACATTTGAAAACCAAAAAAGCCGTTCTGCGTGCAGCATTGCGCAGGAAACTGTTTCATGGAGAGACTGTAAATTACTGCAACAGCTATTACCCTAGTAAATGCACAACAATGTACCCGGAGGAACTCCATCAAGTCCCTCTTGTTGGTAGCCCTGTCATTTGCGCGTGAACGGCCTAAATGATGGACGTAAAAGGCTAATCATCTTCCGGACTCAACGCAGATTTATTCATAAATAAAATACTGCAGTAGCTATGGTCACGGTGCAGCGGTAGCGGGAAGCCAGAAATTGGTATGCATGAAGTCCAATTTCAACTATATTTAAACAAAAGCAGCATTAGATTGGAACTTGCAAAGGCAAGGGAGACCGGAATGGCTTAATAACCGTCATCAGCTAGTCATATCCAATTCCGGGTGTAGGTCACCCGATATGCGAACCCGCAACCTTTGGTCATTGACTGTAAAACTACTCTTGGACCAGGGGCTCGTTAAGTTTTTCTGTTGCGATCGGGAATATGATGAATGCTAAGACGCTCAGCGATATGCTCGCGGAACATGATCGTCCCGTCTACGTTGTAAGTGCTTGTGAGCACCCTTTTTAACTAGATTTAAAATCGGGGATTCAAGTCGACAAAAATGCAATCAATCAACAAGAAAGACCACATTGCTCTTTGAAATGTTTGCGTTAAAATCGAGGCAAAAATGGCGAGCCGGTAGTAGAGGAGAGCCTCAAGAACTCAGTAAACTGCAGTCTGATTGAATGGCGGAGAAAAACACTATCCAAATTTGGTGTCTGGTTAGGTGGAATTGAGTTAACTGAAAACAACCAATGCATTCTAACCTTAGCTTACAAGCTTATCATGCTCGTAAGCCATACATTTTGGACTATAAAGTGGTAAATGCCTCTTTCGGGTGACTTTGAATGCTTTAGATTTCCGCCGATGGGAAGTGAGACCGCAGTCCACGTGGTTGAATAGTTGCCCTAAAATCGCCCACTGACTGACAGGTCGGTATTTGAAAAATTAACCCAGCTATGGTCAATCCAGACTTCCGTTTTATTTTAATATGCTTATGGACAATAAAGTACTCGGAAAAGGGCAAGCAAGAAAGAGGGAAATATGTTCTGAGATCTTTTCAAAAAACCACCATTTAATTATACGTCATTAGAAATGTTTAGAAATTCAATTGCTTTCGAGTATTGTAATCCATTCTGCTGAGATATTTGTGATTTTTTTGTGATTTTAAACACTTCATCAAGGTACTTCGCTTACGGGGCTAACGAGTGAGGAAAACAACTATAAGGCATTCAGTAGAGTCGGTCTGATTATTTATGGCGCGCGTAGACAGGGAAAAAAATGACAGCTACATGCAGCGCCATAAAGATGTTTTGGCGGTTCTTCCCCTGAGAACGAATATTTGCCTGTAGCACCTACTTGATTCGACATCTTTTACCGACATATTTAACCATTTATCTGTTGAGATTATAACCGTGCATGTCATATTTCAAAAGCCATGTAGTCTCAAGAAAGTTACTTCCATGGTAACAGCATACCAGTACTAGGGGAGCATTTAAGAGATGGCTGCTGAAATTTATTTCTTTTCTTAAAGGTCATAAGCCATAGCGAGATCTAATCTCGTTTGCAAGCCTTTTATAGACGCTACAGTGAGGTATAATTAACCTTATCGTCTGTGCAACAATGTGCTTGAAAATTTAGTTAGTTCTTGAGGAATATCATCAAGATTTCATTTCTACAGAAAATAAACTTACAGAGCATTCTCCTTCAGCCGATAGAAGAACTCCTTCATTCCTAGAAGACAACCATTGTCCGGAGCGTCTCCCTTAGCCGGAATTTCGTGTGGTGACCAAACTTCGTAATCTTCAGCAGTGCCTGTAACGAAAGATAAGGAATAATTACTTAAATGTAGGTTGTAAACACGCGAACAGCCAAAAAAGAAAGTAATAAGTTGCAGAAGCTTCGAAAAACCTATTTCATGTCCAGTTGACAAGGCCAATAAAAACCACTTTGGCAGAAGCAAGTGATCGATTTTCAAAGAGTATACAATAGCTAACCTACTTCATGAAATGGTAAACAGGGACGAAGTAAATATAAACCCTGTCTTCCTGGCAGATTGTTGGTAAAGATGTCGAATTTCAATGATTGAAGGGGGTTGGCCCCAACACCCTGTGTCAGAGTCTCACATGACAAAAAGGGAACGGTTTGCGATCTGTGAATAAGAGTCACATTGAGATTCTAGACAGATAATAAGAGGTAACGACCGCACCAGCTCTCCGTCTGCTGTGACAACTCCTTAAACCGCAGAAGCCTTTTTCAAAGTTTTTCAAACCCTTATCCAAAGAATCATGGCAAAACATGTCAGGAATTGGCTCAAAGGAGCTTTTTGCTAATTTTTAGGCATTCAACACTGCACAACAACGAAAGCAACGAAAAATCGGCCCTACGCACTAAGCAAGATGGTAAGAAAATAGGAGATAACGAAGTTGTGGCGTTAAGCTGGGAAACTCTGCAGATCCCGGTGCGTGACAGACGAGTTAATAATTTACTTAGAACCGCCTTGCTTCAGCAAGAATCGAATCATTTTTCCAGTTAAATACATGCTACTAATATCCAAACTTTTGAGCCGAGTTATAGCTATGGACCTACTGGTCTCAAGTCTCGGCAAACAAATTCTCTTCTAAATATAAAGCAGAGAGGAAACTTGCTAGACAACGTTTTTCAAGATATCTATCAAAAATTAAGTAATCGTAGCACGTTGAAAAAGTATAAACGAATTTTAGGCTTTTAGTGGCAGAAACTATCGGAGCATCAGCCTCACCTATAATCTGTTTGATTTACATCATACTGAGAGTCCATGGAAAAAATGCCAGCCCCTGTCAAATTAATCCCATATCCTAGCGACTTATCTGAGCGAAATGAACGCCGTACAGCCCGCATAACGTGTTGCATTTCTGTGTGCGCCCAGAGAACCCTATGAAAAAGCCAGAGGATTGAATGCACTCCCGCCAGGCTACGTTTCTGGCTTTTCCGGGGCAACAAAGATACAGTGTCAACCTATATCAGAACGGACTCCAAACAGGTACATCAGACACTGCATACTTTTTACTGAGCTACACCAATACCCTGCAAGAGGGAAGACTAGAGTATCATCGAATTAATTCGTTGCCGTTGGAATATTAAAACGCTGGGATCCGCGTAGGACGACGGTGAAGCCACACCCAGACGAAGATCTCAAACGTGTCGACTTGGCGCGCACACACAGTCCAGGGGCAGACGCAGGCGTCACGCGCGGGCCCAGTGGCCAACACTGACATGTCCAGCTGTTGTGACGTTATTGTTCACGTACGCGTCAAGAGGACGTGTGCACCTCTGGTTGAACAAGCTGCCAAACATCCTCATACAAAAGCGAATCTATAAATTTAGAAGGCTGATTTATTAATTGAAAGATGTTGCGAAATAAATTGTTCTTTCTGTTCATGTCAGGGTAGGTAGTTTGTCGCAAATGCGGGCAAAAGCTCAGGTTCACTAACAAGTGCCTTCTAAAATACCCTAGTATCAAAGCCTTATCGTCTTCCTAGGATACTACTTGGAGAAGCAAACATCTTCGAATAGATGGGTTCCGTTCAGAATACCACCATTCATATACCACTTTAGTCACCAAAAAATCCAGAAAAACAAGCACTGTTCAGTAGTGTTGACGTCACACGTGAGTTTCGGTCGTAGAATTGAGACTGCAAGAATTGTAAACTTTCCAAGTCAAGGTTATCGAGGATTAGTGCGAACTCATTGACTTCAGTTCAAATAAAAAGCTCCCGTTTACAGCGGATACGAGCACACGCCGTGGCCTGTTGAACCTTGTTGAGTAAAGCACCATGTCAGAGGATATTGACCGACGCGAAGATCAGAGTTAAGTGAGTATAATTTACTCACCATCCTTACACTCCTATCGTTTCGGTGAATGAGTGAGTGAGTGTCTTATGCGATTCGGAGAAACTTTACGCTTTTCCCTCAACTACAATTGTGGCCACACTGGATCGAGAACACCCACGATTAACCCCTTCTGCATACTCGTACTTACATCGGACGTGACGATGACCCTCCCACGTGTAAGCGACTAATGACTCTTCCATGAATCCCGCTACCTAATCTATTTAAGTCTATTTTTCAGTATTCGACCGAGGACGATTAAGATCGGATTGGGTGTGTTCGGCGATGAAAACCTTCGTCCACTATCTATGCAGGTTACATCTTTGCCTGCCACATTCCATACTGTATCACAATTTACGCAATCAAATAACCTTAAGCATAAGAAGATACTAGAATTTTACATCAGAAAGAGAGATCAACAGCTACTGTATTGTTTAACTTAATAACCATGAAGGCACATGATCAAAGTGTACGGCACAAGTTAAGTCTTCATTATTGGCTTATTGAATCTGATTTGAAATAAAGTAAACACTCGCGCCCGTAGCTTCTCTCAGGAAAAGGACAGTTAATACAATGAGCTATCGAACACGTCCCCGGGAAACATTTTATAGCACAATATTTAACTGATTCTGCCGTACAATGACCCACATTTTAACGGACACTGCTTTGGCTGCAGAGACTTATCTCCGATTAGAATCCGTCACTTTAACTACATTTATTTCGGGAACAGGATACCGAGCTACACTGCGACCGCCTTTTTTTCATGAAAAGTTAGACTTGTGTGTTCCCACTGTTCACTATCTGTCTGGAATCCACTCGTCTCGTGCGCTGAAGCCGCTACCAGGGTGTGGTCGCTAGGGATACTGGTTTTTATGACCGTAGCTAAGAGCTGCGTGCAGGTGGGGTCAAGCACAGGGTAAACAGCATCATGCAACTTGGTAGTTCGAAGAGGTTTGCTACGGCCAGTTTGATGGCCCCACCCTGACACATTAGACCACGTACGGGTTGTCGCCTTTCGTCCAAGAAGTCGGAAAAACTGGTAATACAAACTTTCGTTTCTCAGAACGACAGGAGAAGTACAACCGCAGTTTTTTAAGGGCTAAGAAAAATCACGTGGTTTGTTGGCGAGAAAAACCAAGTGATACGGATATTAGTGTCTGTAGACGACTGCAGCTGCGCAATGCGCAAAAAGTACACACGGAAAGCTGGTAAAACAAGTGTTTTGTGTGGTAGTGGCCGTCGTGTAAGAGCTAGGTGATGGCAGACTGGCGAGCGAGTGGGCGAGTGGCAACTGTGGGACTACTGATGACATTCGGTGCTGGCAGACACACGGTTACACAATTCCCGAAACCCAACGGTTCTTGGTGTCGTTCATTGGCAAACGTATTACGGACCCCTCCGTTTAACACACGAGGAAGGGAGACAGTGACCAACGAGGTCACCAGACAGCGTCTCACTGTCTGTGGGGGCAGAAGGTAGTTGTATGGAAATTCAGACAGAACGGCAAAGCCTACTTGAGTGTCTGGCTTCTATTTTCACACAACTACTGACGCCTGGACTGAGACTCCACCCCGCGGCATCAAACTTCTCTCTTTCTCTCTCGCTCGCTCCTTGTTATTGTTTATGCCTGGTC